GAAATAAAAGGGCAAATTTCAAAGCTCAGTGAATAAATACAAAGTGGTCACAGAGGAGAGTCACAGAAGAAAAGAGACTTAATAAACTAGAAAACAGAGCAGGAGAAATTAAATAAAAAGATGCAATCCATAAAAGGTAAGATAGATAGAAGATAGATAGATAGAATAAGGTCAAGCAAAGGTATAGAGTTCCAGAGGGAAAGATAGACTAGGGAGAGCATCATTACTCAGAAGCAATATTTGAAGAAATAAAAACTGAGAATTTTTCAAAACTGATAACAAGTACCAGCCTACAAATCCAGGAGGTCCAAAGAATCACAAATAGGATAAATAAAAAGAAACCTACAAATTTGATAGAAACCTGTTAGTATCAAATAAAGCCATAAAATCTCAGAGGAAAAGAAAAAATTTAAGAAAGCAGGCAGAATATCTATCTAAAAGAAATATATGAATGGCTAATAAGTATGTGAAAATATGCTTAATGCCATTAGTTGTTAGAGAAATGCAAGTGAAAACTATAAATCAGATACCACTTTATACCTACTGAAATGGATATAATTAAAAAGACAGATAATAACATGTCTGGTAAGAGTATGAAGAAATTAGAATCCTTATATATTTGCTGGTGGGAATTTAAAATGCTGCAGTCACTTTGGCAATAGCTCTTCAAGATGCTAATCATACAGTTCCTGTATGGTCTAGCAATTCTATATCTATGTATATACCCAAAAGAAAGAAAATATATGTCCCCAGAGACTTGTACATGAATATTCTTAGCAGCATTATTCATAATAACCAAAATATGGAATAACGTAAGGGCCCATCAACTGATGAACTGATAGACAAAATATGGTATGTTCACATAGTGGAATATTATTCAGTAATAAAAAGGAATGAAGTACTGATTTACATTACAACATGGATGAAACTTGAAATATTACACTGTATAGTCACAAAGTACATATATTATATGATTCCATTCACAGTAAATGATTAAGATAGGCCAATCTAGAGAGACAGAAAATGGATCATTGTTTGCCTACAGCTGCTGGTAGAAGTTGGGGCATGGACAGTGACTTCTAATGGCTGGTTATAAGAGATGTAATGAAATGATGAGATGATGAAAATGTTTCAAAATTTTATTTTGATGATGGTCGTACACTATCAGTACGCTAAAAACCATCAACTGTATACTTTAGTTAGGTGAATTTTATGTCATGTGAATTATACTTCAATAAATCTGTTAAAACTGCAGCTAGTGAAAATATTTCATGACCTTTAAAGGAATGAATTTGTTGTAGACTTTAAATCAAAGAAACATCTTTTAGAGAATTTGGCAGAACTATAAAGAAGAATGTATTATTTCACCATTAAGTAGGTGTTTTTAACCCACTCGTAAGTAATTAACAGATGAAGCAGATTAAAAGATCAAAATATGAAAGACTGAAATTACCTAATTAAAAGTGTTCTCAAATGCCACACATATATATAGAATATTGCAATCAACAATTGTTGGATACATATTCTTTTCAAGTACACACTATACAAAACACATTTTTGATAACTGACCATGTACTATATCAATAAGTAATAGAGACCAAATGTTAAATGATCAGTATCAAATACACCATGTTCTCTATTCACAAACAAAAAGTAACATAAAAAGCATGAAGATAAATAGGAAAAAAGCATGTATTTGGAGATTAAGAAATATACTTCTAAATAATAATCGATGTCCTGACAAGGTTCGCTCAGTGGGTTTGGGCATCATTCCACAAAATGGAGGGTCACCAGTTCCATTCCTGGTCAGGGAACATGCCTGAGTTGTGGGTTCCGTCTTGGCTGGGGCATGAATGAGAGGCAGCTAATTGATGTTTTCCTCCCTCCCTCCCTCCCTCCCTCCCTCCCTCCCTCCCTCCCTCCCTCCCTCCCTCCCTCCCTCCCTCCCTCCTTTCTTTCTCTCTCTCTCCCTCTCTTTCTCTCTCCTTTCTTTCTCTCTCTCCTTCCTTCCTTCCTTCCTTCCTTCCTTCCTTCCTTCCTTCCTTCCTTCCTTCCTTCCTTCCTTCCTTCCTTCCTTCCTTCCTTCCTTTCTTTCTTTTCTTTCTTTCTTCTCCCTCCCTCCCTCCCTCTCTCTCTCTCTCTCTCTCTCTCTTTCTCTTTCTTTCTTTCTTTCTTTCTTTCTTTCTTTCTTTCTTTCTTTCTTTCTTTCTTTCTTTCTTTCTTTCTTTCTTTCTTTCTTTCTTTCTTTCTTTCTTTCTCCTTTTCCCTCTCTCTAAAAATAAGTAAATAGAATCTTTAAAAAATAATAATGGAGATGAGAAAATATTGAGAACTGAACAATCATGTTAATGCTGCGTATCAAACTAGTGAACTTATACTACTGACAAGGAAATTTATAATCTTTAGGCTTATTATGCATGGGAATAAAAAAGACAGAAAATTAGTGAGATAGACATCCAACTTTAAAAGTTAGAAAAAGTAGAATACCCCCCCAAATAGTAGGAAGGAAATAATTTAAAAATAAGAACAGAAATTAATGAAATAGAAAATAAAATGTTGGATGATCAAGATAGCCACAGTTGGAGTATTTAACATGACATCTTCTGCTGAGATTCATCAAGGAAAAGAATAAAAGTAAAGAACATTGGGAATGAAAAAGAAGACATAATCATAATCACTGTAGGTATCAAAGATAAATGGGTCATATGAAAACTTGAGAATAAAGGTAAAAATTTAGATGAAATGAAAATTTCTTAGGAGGGAAACTCTTAGAAACATGAATATTTCTATAAGCAACAGAGATGGAGGAAGTAAGTAATGGTTATTGGAAAGAAAATACCTGCTCTAGATGGTTTTGCTTGTGATTTGTAATGAACATTAAAGGGAGGAATTTTCAATTTATAAAAATCATTTCAGAACACATTAAAAGAAGGAACACTTTCTATTTTACTTGGAACACTAAATCGATACTAAAACCTCACAAACACAGCATAAGATAGGAAAATTACAAGCCAATCTCACCCACAGATGGAAGTTCCAAATATTGGCAATATAAATATTTTGCTAATATAAAAAATATAAAATATACAAATATATAACACATCATAACTAAGTAGAGTTTTTTATTGTAAAGCAAGGAGAGATTAATATTTTAAAATTCCATTAATGTAATTCATTACAATAATATATTAAAGGCAAAAATGTGATAAATCATGAGATGCAGAGAAATGTTTGATAATATTAAACATTCCTTAATGACTTAAAAAAAACTCTTGCCAAAACTCTTGTAATAAAAGGGAACTTCCTGAAACCTAACAGTACCTATAAAAAGCTAAAACAAATATGAACATTAATGATGAGACATTGAAATTCTTCTCTTTAACACCAGAAACAAGACAAAGGAGTCATCATTTCCACCAGGCCTCTCTTGTCTTCCTGGCTGTGTGCCTGGGGTGGGCTTGCTTAGAGCACAGTGATTGGAGGATAATTGGACTGCTAACAGGTGGCTGGCTTCCAGCAGGAGGAAGCTGAAGCTGCCATTCCTTCTATAGGCTAGGGTCGGAACATACTGACACTTTTGCCCCATTCAACTGGTAGAAACCAGTCAGTCCAGCCAGGTTCAAGAGGAGGGTAAAATGACTCCACCCCTGTTTGGGAGGAGCAGCATGTGTACACAAATAGGAAGAAATAGGTAGCAGTTATCTTTGGAGATCATCTATCACTGCTCCAATCAGACTGCCCAAAATGTAAAATGCTGGTGATATAAGATAGTAAAGATGTGGAGTGGTTGTCACACTTACACTGTGTGACTGTGAAAATTAATATAACTGCTTTGCAAGACATTTTGGTTGCCTAGTGAAGTTGAAGATGTGCATATCATGTGATTCACCAATTTAATTCTTAGATTATTTCTGCTATGGATACCAGGTGATATGTATAAGAATGTTCAGAATAGCATTTTTTGTGATAACAAAAAACCCCACCTGAAAATAACCCCAAATGTCTATCAGCAGCAGAAGGAACGAATAAATTGGGGTGAAGTCTTACAATGGAATTATGTTCTTCAGTGAAAATGAACAAGTTGCATATACAATAACACAATATAATCTCTAGGACATAAGATTGAGTAGAAAAAAGCATAATATTGGTATACAAAGAAATACACAGGGCAAACAAAATTAAAAACCTAAATAATATACAAAACTAAATGGTAAATGGTATATCATTTACAGATGCAAAGAGTATATATACAATAAACCTAAAAGACAAACAAGAAAGTGACAAGCACAAAGTTTAGAGTGGCAATTGTTTCTGAAGGCGTAAAGAGATAGACATGGGTTGGAACACAGTTCTAATAATCATTTTTTGGTGAATTAAATGATGGATATTTCCTGTATTATTTTCCCTTACACTTTATATATATTTTATGTTCTTTTGTGTTTTCTCACGATTTGATATAAGCCAAAAAAACCCCAATACTTATCTAGAGGGGGGAGTGAGGATTCTCTTTTGTTGAATAATGCCGTTGAATGATCATTTTCACTGTGGAGTAGTAGAGAAGGTCCAGGTTATGTGTTGGATTAAGTGTCTTTATTAGCTCCATGAGGATCTTGGGGAATGACTTTGTGGTTTCATGGATGAATAGTAGGTTTGTCCAGGAAGCCTTCATTCTTCTGTGAACTTTGGTTCTTAGTGGGGTGGAAGGTGGAAGGCAGTCTGCTGACCATATGTATTCTACTCTCACCCACATTAACAGAGACTCTCCAGACCCCAAAGAATGTGTGGCTCCCAGGGCCATCTTTTTAAGCAAATGTATAACCTGCCTTGTGAGAATACTGATCATTGGCTATTGAAAATAAAAATAACAAAGAAATAATAAGTCACTTAAAGAACACATACATAAAAGAAAGAAATATGAGATAAATGAGTAGTTTCCACATATAGAGAAGTATAGAGTACTAGTTGTGGCTTCTAATGTCTTGCAATTTTGTTGTTTACAGATTGATCAGCTGAAGCAGGAACTTTCAAAGAAGGAGTCAGAACTTCTTGCCTTACAAACAAAGCTTGAAACCCTTAGCAATCAAAATTCAGATTGCAAGCAACACATTGAAGTGCTTAAAGAGTCACTTACTGCCAAAGAACAGAGGGCTGCCATTCTTCAAACGGAGGTAAGGTGCTGTCTCAGGATTCCAGACAGCAGACATTGAGTTGATAGAAAATGTCTTATCTGAACAACTTTCATTAGAAGATTCCTTATCCAAACCCTTGGAGCCAGAGGTATTTTGTATATCAGATGTTTGGGGGATTTTGGAAAGGTAAGACCCATTGCATGTATCATAGACTACATAGCACTCCCAATGGGGTTGCTGGAAGTGCTCTACAAACACGTGGATGTTTATGCAGAAAAACGTTTCTCACCCCAATGTAGGATAAATAAAGGCTATATAAGTAGCCTCTCAGTTAGTGTCATTGTGCCACTAAAGGAGTTTGATTCATGCTTGGAAATTTTTTTTTTTCATTTTTTGAAGCTTTTTGGGTTTGGTATAAATGATTGAATCTAGAATGGTTTTATTTGATCAAAAATCATTAAAAAAAACCAGAATGTCATTTACTTTCCTTTGTCATGTATCTATATCAGTTCCCTTCCTGGCACCTGTGGTTCCAAAGGTTTCTTACTTCCTAAGCAGTATCCTCAATTTTCAAAATTCACTTACTCATCGAAGAAAGTTGGTGTCGTGTGAGTTTCTTAAAGGAAATATTGGTTTGTTTTTCCTTATTCACACTTGGTGAAAAGGTAAATATATGTTGCTATCCTGTTTCCTTGCTCTCTCCAGTGGATTATATCTTTGGGGTGCTAAGGAATGTAGAACACAAGCAAGTTGTTATGTAAACAAAACAGTGACAGAAAATAAATTATTACGTGTGGGCAGTAACAAAGAATGTTGTGCATACCCCTGATTTTTTGCACAGAGGCAGTGCATTATGTGGATCACTTTAGGAGAAGGTGATCTAATTAAGATGCATGTTTCTTCTTGTGTGCTTTGAGCCATGTCTTTCAATATATATACGTATATATATTGGGTCTGTGGGAAGATTTGGATTTTCCTTAGTACTTAATGGGGCCATTCATCAGGTTTGTGCCCTCAGTGGAGGTGCAGGACAGTGTTCACAGGCAAAAGGAAATAGGTTCCAGATTGGATAAGTCTTGGCATACACCAACTTAGCCCCTATGCACTTGACATTGGCTAAGTTATTTGATTGATTCAAACCAGAATGATCATTTTAGCTTCAATGATGTATATACTCCCCATTTAAGAAATATAATTTTCAGTTGTATGTAGTCCCACTCTGAATGTGGAAGCATGGATATTTTATTTTTTAAGGCAAAATTTTGGACAATTACATAAATTGGAAGGTGGTTTATATTTCCTTTGAAGAGGAGCAGTGAATAGCGACTACCACTATGCTATGTAATACAGCAGCCACTAGCCACATGTTTATTCAAATTTAAATTACTAAAATTTGGTAAAATTTAAAGTGTAGTTCCCAGGTAAAGGGGATCAACTATATGCTGACAGAAGATCATTCGATGTTGGGTGGTGGGCACACAATGCTATAATACAAATCACGTGTCATAGAAATGTACACTTGAAACCTATATGATCTTATTAATCAATATCACCACAGTAAATTTAACTAAAGAAGAAAAAACAATAAAAGTCAGTAAAATTAAAAATGTAGCTCCTTAGTCACACTAGCCACATTTCCATGGTGAAATGTGGCTGATGACTGCTGTATCTGATAGCACAGCTATAGAACATTTCACCCTCTAGCACTTGTCTGGAATAAGGTTTGAAAACTATAGCTTGTTGAACAAATCCTGCCATCTGCCCAGTTTTGTAAGTAAAGGTGGTTTTTTTTTCTTTTCTTACCCAAGGACATTTTTTTCATTGCTTTTAGAGAGAGAGGAAAGGAGAGACAGAAACGTTGATGTGAGAGAGAAGCATCGATTGGTTACCACCAGTACATGCCTGGGCTGGGGAATCATATGCACCTGGACCAGTGATTGAACTGGCAACATTGGTATGTGCCCTGACCGGAAAGTGAAACCGTAACATTTTGGTTACTGGATGATGATGCTCTAACCATCTGAGCCGCACTGGCCAGGGCTGTAAGTAAAGTTTTATTAGAATGCAGCCACACTCCTTCATCTATGTGTTGTCTTTAGCCACAGATTTTAGTAGCAACAGAGATTGTATAACCCACAAAGCTGCAAATATTTACTCTTTGGCCCTTTCCAGTAAAAGTTTGCAAACTCACAGCATTGTGATTTTGCAGGAAGAGGGCTGAGTAGGAATTGGAATACCCAGCCTGGCTTCTCTTCAGTGGTCTTACTCTGAACAGGGACAGATAGTTTGCTGATCCTTATTCTAGAGCACAAGTTTTTCTTCACGCTGGGTTATTCACAAAGCAACTGATTGTACCACAGCTGTCTTATGTTGGCAATAATACCAGCATTACTAATCAAGTTAGTGCAATCATGTTGCTGTGTATTGGGTGGGAGGAAATTTGAGTAGCAAGGCAGTCTGTTGAGGTATTGCTCCAATAGGCAGTCAGGCTTCTTGATTGAAAAGAATAAGAAAAGTCAGTGCAGAAAGGCTTACTTCCTTTCTCTTACTACCTTGTACTGATGAGTGCTGTGTTCCCAGCCTATTTTCCTTTTCTTATTCTTTCCTCTGTGTTTTAACTCTCTTGAATTAATGTGGTCAAAAATTAGACCTATGTATATTTCATGAAAAAGACAGTGGTGACATTATGTGGATAGCTTCCATCCCACGTTCAATAATCAAAATGACCCAGGAAAAAGACGGCACTTTGATGTAGAAAAAAATTATTCTCCATGTGCAGAGAGAGTGAGATGATTTTCTAGTGCTTTGAGGTTGGGAGTGTGTGATTAATGATTTTATCAGCTGGAAACATCTGAGGAATTTTCTTTTGCCTTTTTTCTTCTTTTAAGATCTATGTAAATGAAAATGGAGACAGTCAATGATGTCCATCTCTGTTAAAATTTGATCTAATTGTTGGATCATAGGCAAAGGATTTTTGTCAACAGGGTAAAATATATTAAAGTGATTTTCCCACTTCTAAAGAGTCTCCCTACCTTAGTGGGCAAGTATTCAGTAGATGAGATATGGTCTGTATTGTTTTGCAGTACAACAAGAGACCTGAGTTTGAGTTTATGTGAAAGATATGGCATTCATCCTTGGAGGAGGTTACATGTGATTGCTCCTTCCAATTTTATTCCTGAGTCATTCCTTAAAAGCTTTTGCCAAAACAAAAGAGGGCTCTCTCTAGAATTGGAAGAAATTTTTCAGTTTCTTTGGAAAATCTGTACTATCAACTAGTTTTCGCTATTCTTCTAGAAAATGGTATAAATGACAGATGTTACTGGCTTTAAAGTTCATCTCTGCAAGAAAGAAGACTCTTGCTACCAGAGAGTTTGCATCTGGGAGGTAGCAGAATTAATAGTGGGGCAAGGGGTGGGGGCAAGTTGTCTGGGTTTGCAGCTCTGCGGCTTGGCCCTTGGGTTGGTTTGTTTTAACTTGAATAAATGCCCAGATGCTCTTTGACATGTGTGCAGTAAATCAGTGGAATAATAGTTACACACACAGAGGGAATACACCACATAGCTCCTAACACAACATTTTACTTTTTAAAATAGCTTCAAAGGACCCCAAAGCCAAGTTTTTTATTTTGCTACCTCCCTTGATGTTTTTATGTACCAATTTACTCCCATCCACCAACACATTAATTTCGTGGCAGTATAGATAATAAATTAGCTTTCTCTAGCACTTTGATTTTTTCTGGATTTCAACAAATAATTACCAACATATTCAGAAATTAAGAAGAGAAGACTAAATATTATTCAGTGGTCTGAAGTAAAATGTGTGAAGAACACAGCATTGAGAAGTGAAAGGTGTGTGTTGCCCTGGCTGGTGTGGATCAGTGAATTGAGTGCTGTTCTATGAACCAAAATGTTGCTCGTTTAATTCCCAGTCAGGGCACATGCCTGGGTTGTGGGCCATGTCCCAGGTTGCAAAAAGCAACTGAACAATGTTTCTCTCCCTCTCTTCCTCCCTCACTTCCACCCTTTCTAAAATTAAATGAATAAAATATTAAAAAAAAAAAGAAGAGGTGTGTGGACATACTTCAGCCTCCTCACTGAGTAACTGTGAGGTGGGAGAGACTTGAACTTCTCTGAGCCTCCATGTCTTACCCATAAAATGGCAGTCTCTGTTCCCGGCTGGCACATCTGTACGAAAAGTGCTTTAACTCTAGTAAAGGGTTCACCTATAAATTCTCTTCATTATCATCTTGCTGTTATTATTATTTTTATTGTATATCAGGGCTGTTTGGGGGAATTCTTCATCTCACTGCTTATTTCCTTCCATTCTGTGTGTTCTACCTTTGTGGGTCTCTGCATTTTTGGTGTCTGCATTTACCAAGCTCAGGCTTTTAAATTTCAATAGAGTCACTGTTTTTTATGAAGGTACTATAAAAGTGCCTTAAGAGATTAGAGATTAAGAGATTAAGACATTCCTTTTTGTTTTCTGGCAAGTACACCTTGCCCCAGCCAGCATGATTTTTAAATGGCCAGATGTGACAACTCTTTTGAGTGGTTTCTGGAAGTGTTATATGAAAGCTCTTACACTCATTGCTGTTCCTAAAAGGTCAGGGAAGAGTTCTACTTGTCTAAGAGTAAACACTTGAGAACCTGTTAGTTAAGACAGAATGTAGGGGTTTTGTGTTTATGAAGGCGAGGTGCAGTGCATGCAGATTAGGTTAGCAGCATCTCCATAGCCAGGGTCCCTAACATTTTTGGTTTTGTTTTTTAAATGAAATTCATAGAAAAGAGAATATTATGTAATTTATAGGCTTACTCCCTGGAAGAATTCACCTCAGCACATACACACACACCCATGTTCACATGCAAGAATCTGTATAATTTTGGGCAGTTTATAGATGCCCCAAAGCATTTCTAAGAATTTCCCATTTAAGATTCCTGCCCCATAGATTTCATACATTTTTTATTTAACACACAGTTTCTGAATGACTGTTGTGTGCCAGATATGGTTCTTGCCCTCATCCAGACAATATTTATAAGATA